TGAAGTTTGGTTTCGTCAACCAAGAAATCTTCGCGTTTCTACTTTAATGTTTTAGATTTAAAAAGTTTGAAAAACTGCGATAGTGATTTCTAATTGTACCTGTACAAACAGTATTGATAGAAAATCAAAACAAATCAACAAAAGAAATGAAAAAATGATAAATTAACTCCATTCGTATCAATTTCAATATCATCAAGAACGAAGAGAATGAGCTGCAGAGAGACAAGCGAAATTTTTGTTACGAAATTTTAGATACTGACATGTATGACTAACCGAAATAAAGACTGACAATTTTTAAAAAACATGTTATACATGTTATATACATGTATATATAGCTATATATGTTTCTGTCTTCGGCTTCTATATAACATGTAGCTTCTCCTTTTAAAAAATTAAAGTGTTGTGTTTGACCTATTGACCTATTGATCGAAAGTACTTGGGCAAGATTTAATTAATTACTGTGTTCGATAGTTGCCTTGTATACCATCAAAGTATAATGAATATTGATTGACATCTTCTTGTTCACGTGCCACATTAGAATTATCGATGTTGGCGTTCACCATTGCAAAAGTCTTCTTGATCTTCTCGATCTTCTCTGATGATTGACATTAAACTTATATAGATTGTCAAGCGTGATAGTGCTCAATAAATAATAGCTAATTTTTAACTACTAGCTGAGAATTTATTATTTTGCCCCCGTATTATAATCGTAAAATAAAAAAAATTTGAAGCACACTATCTACCTAAAAAATAAAATACATCAAACAATGTATCTTTTTGTGCCGGCTTAATCAAAACACCTTTAAAGCCTCCATTCCCATAATTCTTTTCAGCAAACTTCCAGAGCCCAACACCTTGTAATTCTAAGACGTGCTAAAACTCCAAGTTGCCGGATTATCCCTGCAAACTTAAGTAAATCGTAGATTAAATTACAGTGCTAAAATCCAACGTACACAAATTAAATAATGTGTGCGAAGTGTTTTCCGTCTTTTTCCACCAATTTGTATCAATTTGGAGATTACCTTTTCGAGGGCAATTATATTCCTTTTTTATTCTACTTTTTTAAGTAATATCAGAATTTTTGACTTGTTTAATTTACTGTAGGACAAAAATTAACAATTTGAAACGGTTATGAGGTTTGTATTTAGTTAATAATACGAAGGGAGTGCGAAGAGTTCTCTGCTTCCCATATTTTTGCTAATATTTTCAAAATATATTTTTTACACTTTGGCTGCCACATTACGTCTGTGCAAGATTCTATTTGGTCACGATAATGTTTTATTTTTTAATTATATCTAAATTACATTAATTTAAGTTAACACAATTGCTGGCAAAACATATTCGTCCGCATGTGTGTTCAGTATGTGTGTATCAAAAATATACGCCATGTGCATAATTTTATATACGTATTCAAGAGGGGAATTATCCTGTCTTTGAAAATGTGAAAGTTCAGTATTTCTATAGCATTAGTTGTAAGAAACATTCGTTCCAGGCATTATATTTCAAAATTTATGGGATAATAATATAAGTGATGATGCCGATGATCTGCATATCACAACGATTCAGCAAAAGGAAAATTTTTAGAACAGACAACAACTTAGACAAATACATTAAAAACAACAAGGGCCAAAATATAAAGCACTTACACAGTGATCTATACAAAGGTTTCCAAAACCTTACATCGGTCAAACTGATAGAACTTCTAACAAACGTATAGCAGAACATAAAAGGGCTTTCAATAATAGAAAAACAGATTCTACATACGCACTTCACCTTCTAGATCATATTTATTCTTTTAATTAGGAATTTTAAATTCTTTATATCCAAAATAAAAGCCTTAAGCTATCTTTATTAGAATCTATGGAAATTAACAAATTAAAAAACACAGACATAAGCCTAAATAACCAACTTATAACCAACTTGAGACAAACAGTTCTCTTCTCCTCAAAATACTTCGTTAAAGACTATAAATTGAAAACACATAACAAATATAGATCACTTGAGAAAGGCACTCTGACGAAACAACTGTAGTGATAAGATTTTATAATAAATTTTATAATAAAGTTTTAAAAACAAAGTTTTCAGTATTTTATTGTTATATAAAATGAATTTCCATCAAGTATCAGTCGAATCCATTACATATTTATAGGAATAAAGTTATTCAAATAAGAATACAAAAGAGACGTGTTGATGATCACAACCAAATAATATTATGGAACATTACTTAAAGTTCCAGGGAAAATAAATAAATTGAAACTCACGGCAGTTGTTGATTATAACAAAGTAAAGGCTTTTATTGACGTATTTGACCAGATGTCGTCATTTTCAACTTTTTTTAGTCTAAAATCCGACCGTAAAGTTGCAGTAGAGAGACTTACTAGACCTTGTGTACTAAATCCTGATTATTTATTCAATAAAAATAATGCAAATCAGACCAAAAACAAATAAAAGATGACAGAAACACATATTTGTGTTTTAAGATACTTGCTTTTAGAAAGAAAGAAAATTCATTAGACTCGAAGTTAATTTCCTCGTGTAAGTTACTTATATGAACAGCATCTTCATCACCGCTGTCCTCGTCAGTCTCTTTCCTATCATTGAAAGGCTGTTATTAATAAAAAAGCAGGACAATCTGGACAACAGTATACTGAGAATCATGCAGGTATGTTGTTATAACCTCAACTTTTGTTAAATATTTAATTCTTACTAGACTTATTACATTATAGGTGTAAGAAGACATGCTTTCTTGTGATTTCTCGTGAATGTAGGGAAGAAATTTTTACATTTTATAAATTATAAAACAAAAATGCTTAAGACGCTTATCTTCAGTCCTTTATTAAAATGAACTTTGAAAATAAGGCTATTATCGAGCACAAAATAATTAAATCAAGCCCAAGTACTTTCGCTATAATAGCATCTTCAGGGGCATTTCGTCAAAATAAGATCTACCCAGCAAGCGTAGGAAGTTGAAACATTAAAACTAACAATAAATTATACAAAACACTACACTAAAACGAGGACAAACAGTTTAAAATTGCTTCTACGCTACATTCTCTGTCAGTTTCTGAGAATGCCCCTGAAGATGCTATTATAAGCGAAAGTACTTGGGCTTGATTTAATTATTTTGTGCTCGATAATAGCCTTATTTTCAAAGTTCATTTATTCGAGCATTCAACCTCATTTCATTTCTTTATTAAAATATTGACAGTTACCCGACGGCGTCCTAGACAAAACACTGAAGATAACAGGAGAAAACTAACATGAACACTTATTTTCGTACAGAGTGAGAACAAGGACAGCAGTTTATTCTGTTTGTTGATCTGCATTTTTAAGTCTGCATGCTATAACAAAAAGACAGAGTATCTGTCAAGTATCTTTTTAAAATTTTAGAAAAAGGACAAGTATCTATTGACATGAGAGGTAAACAAAAACCAGCTAATGCAAAACCTAAAGAAATAGTCAATAGTATTAAAACCCATATTGAGTCATTTCCTGTCAAACTAGCACCCTACAATGGAAGAGAAATGAAATATTGGAATGAAAAACTAAATATAAAATAATGCATTTGGTATTTTGAGAAAAATTTCCAGATGTCCCAGTTAAATATGGATTTTATAGAGCTGTCTTCACTAGTTACGCTTCGCCAGGCTTCAGATTGACACCTGCAGCAAATGTGAAGAACTCGATTTAAAAATAAAAGTCCCAATATATCAATGATAGTACTAAAAGAGTAGCTATTATAGAAAATCCACAAGGAAAATAATTTCTGCAGCTGGCTGTATACCACGTATCACAAAAAAGGGGTTAGATCTTTGTAAATATACCCATTTATAAAGATCTAACCCCCTTTTTTTAGCTATTACAACTTAAAACATGATGCATGTATGTTAAAAGTGGACCCATCGGTGGGAGGAATATGCATTGACTATATGCAAAATCTATCTCTACCAGTAACACCCATCCAAGTTACATTTTACCTAATTCAACTTACACTCATTGTGTATAACATACACGATCTTAAAACCGGTAAAAGCTACTTCTACCTATATCAAGGATTAGACGAGATGTGTCTCTTCATAATGGATTATATTAAAACATTTGTATATGAGGAAGTGAAACACTGTCACATTTTCTCTGATGGAGCTGGAGATCAAAACAAAAATCATATAGTTTTAAGGTTCGTCAGAGCCTTAACAGATCTCAGAAGATTTGAAACGGTGAACCAGTACTAACCTATTCGTGGTCACCCGTTCATGCCTTGTGACCGTAACTTTGCTGTAGCAAAGAGAACAATAAAAAAAGCTGATAGGATTTACACATTAAAAGAGTATGTAGAACTCATTATAACTACTAGTACTAAAAGAAGTTTTACTGTCCATCTAATCGAGAATAATATTAGTAATATCAAAGATTATAAGTCCTAGTGGACTACATATTACAAAAGAAATGTTTTATTGTACGGATCACTAGGTAGGCATATTCCCAAAGAACAAAAGGTTTCTTTTTCTATCAGCAAGTTCATTCACTCTTCTTGTAACTCTTAGGCAAAGGGTCAAATTGTTGCTCATGAATTTATTGATGAAATTGTTCACCATACATTTGATGTTTCTACACGCACGTTTTATCACGCTAGTTCGGTAACGCTTGCTCAGAATTTTACTGTAAATAAAAACAGTAATACAACGCCAGTATAGAGGCTTCGCTTCAATAATAATGTCAACAGTAGATTCATTATCTGACCGATTTTCGATCTCATCCATTAACTCACTTAAAGTCAAAGCTTCCGTCCAGTAACTAAAGAAAAAATGCGTACTTAGTATAACGGAAAACGCCACCGTTCTTTATAAAGAACACCGAACTTGAAGAACTAATACTGTTGATTGAGGACGGCAAGGGTTTCGAACAGGAATATAGTGCACGGATGCAGATTTCGAAAATAAGGCAGATAAAAGCAAAATCGCTGGAATACAACAAGGAGAATACCACTAGATTTAGTAAAAATGATTGAGGATGTATATAAAAACTGCGTAGCGATGGTAAAGTCCGAAGAAAAACTCTCGCAATATATAAAGTAAGAAACAAGCATTAGACAAGGAGATTCGCTAACCAATAAAGCTGGAAGAAGTACTCTTAAAGAACTCGGTTAAAAATAATAGAATTTTCTAGTTTTCTAAATTGATATTGATTATCAAAATACAAATTATTAATCCTTCTTTACTTATAAAACTATTACCAATAATATTAAAAATTATATTTCTGAGTGTAGTAAAATTTAATAAACTGATACATACAATAAAAGTAGAATTGTCACTTTTACGTAACTCCTATGCCACGAATTCCCAAGGGTTCAATAAAAACACACTTAGGTAACCTAAAATTCAACAGGTTGGTAGAGCATTGCCTGTTTATTATTTAGACCCTCCCGGTGCTCGTAGAATTCTCACTTGTTACTCTCATCGGACATTTATTACCCCTATTACACGACGTGCTCTTCGTGATTTCCATCGAAAAATTTCGGATATTTTCCTGCTATTGAATTTTCGTAGGTAATTGTATTGCTTGTCTCCGAAATATATATATATATATATATATATATTATATAATATATATATATATATATTAATGTGAAATTAAAAGTCTCAGGTGCGCCAAGCAATTAATTAGCTAATTAATTAATTAATTAAACTTATTTAAATGATGCAATTGTAAGTCTATCACACTATTTAATTTTCTTATCTCAGGGTTATACTCGTGCTTCAATATCTATGCTTTACATATGATAGGTAAGGTCCAAAGAATACCGGAATAATAAAAAACATATATCATACAAATTAATATATTGAAATAAAATTCACACTCAAATATCTTCAATAAAAAATATCTCATATAGGATTATCAAAATTTTTGTTCTACGTACGTGAACCCTAAAAAATTCATTGGTTACAATTGTTAAAAAAATGTCCAAATGTCCAAATGTCAAATGTCCAATTGTCCAAATCCTTCTTCCTTGTAGCCTACACTATCTATTTTTAGCAGTCCCTTAGGTAATCAGCAATCTTACAACAAATTGTTGCGAGCTTATCGTCTTTAATGATCTCCTTGAAATGCACGTATCGTTCAAATTATGCTAGTCCCTTCTCCTCTCAATAAACTGAATCTCTCGTTCTGGCCTGAACAGTGACTCTTGGAGTATAAGTAGAAAAATTTAACTTACAATATTTAACTGGATCAGCTTCTGTCAGATACACTTACTCGACGAAAACTCACAAACATTCACTTGTACTGCTTACTACCTCTGGGGAACCACCAGAGAACAACGACTGTTCGCCTTGAACCTTTGGAAAATAACTGCTAAACATACTCTCTAAACCTAACCTACCATTTAGATAAAAAACAACAATTTTACCTACAATTATAAATTTCCTAAAAACTATTAACATGCTAATCGGTTTCTACAAATTCTTAAAAACTAACAAAGAATTATACTTTTCTAAATATTTCTATTCTATTGTCTTATTCACTGTATATCGACGTACAAATCTATTTGGACAAATGGTGGACAAAAAACAACAATGGTGGATTTAAACTTACAAATAGTTTGTGGATTGTTTTTATTGTTATAAGAACTGCATGGTTACTTAACATTAAACAAACGACTTAAGTAAAAACAAAAACTAAAACCTAGCACTACTGTTTATTATTTATTTTTCTGGTGGTATTTAAAGTTAAGTATTTAAAATTGGAAATTTTCCGTTGATTAACGACAATATCGTACAATGCTCATGTCTAATTCGTTTTTTTTGTGGATGGTCGGCAAGGTTGAGAGATTTAAGGAGGATACTAAAAATATAATTTATAGTGTTCGTGGTGTAATTTGTTCGTTATAAAAGGTTTTGTATGCTGAACCAATTCGCCAATACTAAGGGGAATCTATGAAGCAGTGAATGACAATTGAGTGTGTAGAAAAAGATACAACTTCAAACTTTATAGAATATATCAGGAACTAGATATCGTAAAACATGTAATGGTGGAAAATAATCAGGTGGATAGGAATGTAATGCGGATGGAACAAAATGACTCAGCTAGAAAAACGCTCCTTGATAGACCTATTGGTCAGAGAAGAAGAGGAAGACAAAAAACGAGGTTCCTTGATAACATCGATGAAGACATGAGAAACATTGGAATACGTGCTTGGAGGAGAAAGGCGATGGATGGGGACAACTGGAGAGAAATTCTTGAGGAGGCTAGGACCCACGCAGGGTTGTAAAGTCAGGATAATGATGATATGGTGTGACGCTATATAAAAGTTAATAAAACTAAAAATTATATTCATTTATTATTAACATTTTGATCTGAAACTTATCAAGAGGTTTAACTACCTTATAACAAAAAAATCAGGCTGCGGCGAAGAAATAAAACTTTTCAGACATCGACGTTAAAGGCCGTCAATAGAAGAAAACTAAATGCCTTCGAGATGTGAGCTTAAATAAAATATTGTGAACGTCATACACAGCACATGTACATTGTCTGTCAACAAAAATAAATGAGTCCTACTTTAGATATTTTTGATATATAATGACAAGAACAGAAAACCTAGAACACTGATCGTCGAGGGTAACATTCATGGCATTCGCGAGAAAGATCTCTTTTTATCCTGCGTAGTTTAAGTTAGGTAAATTATGCACTATCCGAGCAATTGAGACTGTGGAGTAAAATTATTTATTAGAAAGAAGAAAAAATGAAGGTACCACAAAGTTGCAATTTCAGATCAATACTTAAAGTAATACAAATACACCCAACTAACAATACCTCTTAGCAATATTCTGTAGCAATTCTATTAGCTGTATGTATTTCTGTTCTAAACTGTTTTTTTTTTGTTCTAGGAACCAATACGACCAATTTACTCCGCCAACACTGAAACAGGAAAAGGGTGATGTTAATGCCAGCGGTACCATTGCGGACATCAGCTCACCAGACAGTTTACCCGACTATGAACGACCAGCTCCGAGAAAAATCGATGAATATATCAGAGCAGAGCTACCTTATCTCAGCAAGAGAGCTACGGTGGCTTTGCTTAGCTGTTTGGGATTTATAATTATGTTTGGAATGAGAACTAGCATGGGTCTTGTCAAAATCAAAATGGTAAGTTTTACCTTATTAATTTTGATCAAGTAAATGGCAGATATTGAGCACAGTTTTTATTAATTAAATCTCGTTCAAGAACTTTCGCTTCCTAGAGCATCTTCAGGGGCATCTGAAATAAGACAAGAAACGTTTTTTTAACTGAAGAAATTAATTAACTTCAAAAAATGTGATTAAGGTTTTAGACTTACTTTGTCAATATTGGCCTATCCAACAATTATAGAATGTATAAACATAAAATTGCACATCGCATACTACACTACACAAGGACAAACACTTTAAAAATTTAAAATAGGCGATGCTACATTATGGTCGACATCCGGAGAGAGAATGGCTCCCAGTCTTAACGGAAATGTTAAGGTACACCTTAAAACTACCACCTACTAAACTAACTTCTTCTTAACGTGCCCTATCAAGTCCCCTTGACGTTGGCGATTAGCATGGCGAAACTGTCTCTATCTCGAGCTATTCTAAAGAATTGCTCAGCTTTCCTTATTCCTGTCCACTCCCTGATATTCTTCAACCAAGAGCCTGCTTTCTACAATCCAATTCCTCTGCGTCCTTCGATTATACCCATCATAATAAGTTGAAGAATATTGTATCGGTCTCTCCTTACTACGTGTCCAAAATAGGCCATCTTTCTACATTTGATGTTTGACACAAGGACTGCCACATTTGTCAGCATAGCCGTCCATGGAATTTTTAGTATACGTCTGTGCAGCCACATTTCAAAGGCCTCCAGACGAATAATGGTGGATATTTTTAATGTCCATGCTTCGACAGCGTATAAGAGGACTGACCCAAATGTAGCATTTAACCATGCGCTTTCGAAGTTGAAGTTGTAAGTAATCATTACAGAAGAATGACCTCATTTTTAAAAATGTCGTGCAGGCTATCTCAATTCTACATTTTATCTCTTGATCTGGATCTAGTTGTTCTGTAATATGGCAACCAAGATAATTAAAACTGGACACTCTCTTATATATGACCAACAACATATAATCGTGCATCTTAATGTGCCAAAAACGGCTAAACACCATGTGTTTTGTTTTTGAACAGTTTATGTTTAGGCCAAACTCTCTTCCCACTGTATCAATGAGATTTAAAAGGCATTGTAGTCCATTCATGTCATCACTTAAAATAGCTGTATGGTCTGCATATCTGATTGTATTTATCAGAATTTCATTAACTTTCACGCCCCATTCCAAATTATGCAGCGCTCCTTTAAATATTCTGAGTATAAATTAAATAACAGTGGGGATAGTATACAACCCTGTCTGACACTTCTTTGTATTTTACATATTTCTGTTGATTTTCCGTTTATGCAAACTGACGCTGTTTGACGCCAGTATAACTTTTCTATGAATCGTATGTCTTGACTATCAACTCCTTTATCTTTAATATTGTAATTATTTTGTGATGCTGAACCACGATCAAAGGCCTTTTCATAGTCAATAAATACAGCAAAGACGTCTTTCCTTTGATCTCGACATTTCTGCAGTAATACATTTAATGCAAAGAGGGCGCCCCCCCTCCCGAGTTCCCAGTCAGTTTCTGAAGCCAAATTGTGTTTCATCCTAGTCTTCTTTACATTTATCTCTGATTCTACTGTGGATGATGCGTAGAAATATTTTCAAAGTATGGCCTTATCTTTAAACTAACATACTAACCTAACATACAGATTATTTTAAAGTATGTATATTGTTTTTCTTAAAATATGTATTTTAAAGAAAGCAAAAAATTACAACCAATAGGATAGGTAATGTTTTGTATTCTCTTGTGGAAGTGACTAACCTACCAACCAAAGGGAACCTTTAGTTTTTTCTAATTCGTGATTTTTTTTTTCGACAGCAAGATATTTTTAAGCACAATATACGTAATTGATTATCTCGCTCTTTCTAACATTTCCGTTTTATTTCCAGAACAACACTTGGACTCCGGAAACACTTTCAGCGGTCGACGCAGCCATCTTCTGGGGTTATTTCGTGACACAAATCCCTGGTGGCCTAATTGCGGCAGCGTATCCAGCCAACAAGTTATTTGGAGCTGCAATAGCATCATCCTGTATTCTTAACCTTATTATTCCGGCTGTTTATCAAAAACCGGACGTTCTTATCGTTGTTAAAGTTATGCAAGGATTAGTAGAGGTAAGTTTCATTAATATTAACAAACAAATTACTTATCTATTATTCGTATATTAGAATGTTCAGTTGCATAAAAAATAGCTGCCTTAAAATGATTACAATTTACGATCTTCAATAACCTCTTTATTTATTTACTTTAAATTACATATAAGAGATATGAATGTGTCTATATTTATTTCTCTAACCCCCTCGGGCCCAAACATGAATTTCAGTGATTTTTTTGTTGCCAATCAAAAGAATGTTACAATTTCTTAAGATTATTAATCATAAAAAACAAAAAAAAACGGGTGTGGCAGTCCAGTGGGACTGCCGGTAGAAGTTATACTTCTATACACGCGTTTGCCATTACAAATTTATATGGAAGTCAATCTGCACAATCATTACATATGTAATGCTATAGATAAGAGAGAGCAGAAAGAGAAAAAAATTAGTTGCATAGGTATATGGTGCATCGTTTGCTGTATATAAACAATTAACCTGTAATAGGAGTATAGTAAATGAAGGATTGTATCAATATTTTAATGAAAATCTATATTTTTATTTTCATATATGTATAAAAGGAGTTGAATGCAAAAAAAAATTTTACACATACTCTGTAGTAAAATTCATTGTTTATTTTGTTATAATATAAAAATTAGAATACAATAAGTACACTGCAACATAATTCAATATAATAATACAATATAAATTAAAATGCAATATTCATAAGTATTTAAAACTGCCAATATACATAACTTACTTTACGATGATAAAAATAAAAAACCAACAACTCAGATTATGTTGCGCATTTTCATTTTATATTAAAATTTAGCATTTTTGCCTAAATTACATATTTAATAAGATTAACATGAGGTTTTTAAATATTTTAAAAATAAAAAAGGAAATTCATATTGGGATTTGAACTCATAAACACCAGCGTATGAACCAAACACGTAAAGGATTTGCCAATTAGACACTAACGGATGTCAAAATTGACAGTTCTCTTACAGTACTCTCTTACAGTTCTCTTACAGTACCAAAACAAATATTTTCACAATTTTTTGTGTACAACTTGGAAACAGGTGAACTGGGAAGTAATCATCAACGGCTTTAGAAAAGGCGGAATTATTCCTTTTAATCGTCACGTTATCCCTAAAACATCATTTCCTCCCTGCTTGCTTAATAAGAGAAAGATTATAAAAAATTCCATATTATCTATACACGAAAATGGTAATAAAGTATTGGTACCAACTAAAGTAACTCAAGAAGTATTTTATCAAAACAAAGGACCTACGCCTGATGCTCTAATCGAAACTACCATTTCCGACTAAGTAAAAAATATCTTTGCCAGAGTCGATGAACTTGAATCGATTGAATGTACAAGTTTAACTGAAATAAGAATGTAACATTTGAAGATTTATTGTTATCAACAGTAAAACAACTTCCAAACACACCAACCAAAAATAAGAAATTGTTATGACCTGGATCTGAAGTATTGACATCACAACAAGCTATTGATGTTTTAAAACAGAAATCTCAACAAAAAGGAAACGGTACTAAAATTCATAACTAAGGCAAAGGCCAAAAAAAGAAATAAACGAGAGTCATTATCATTTAGCAGGAGCGAAGACGATGAGTCAATGTCCCCAATATTCATGGATTCTGATAACGCTGACGAGTTTCTGGATACACTTTTGAAATCAGAGCCAGAGACAAAATAGCTGTAAATAATGACGAGGAAACAGCTTTGAGATTAGCACTGGGTGCCTTCAGAACTAGCCCTATTAGTAGCTTACAAGTTTTAGCGAGAGAACCCCCTCTGTATATTAGATGCCAACAGCTATCCCTAAACTATATAGGCAAAATCTCAGCACAGAAACAACATCCAGTATTCTCCCAAATTTGCCATCCCAGTATTGCTTCTACAAAACTAACTAAAAATAGTACTCCCCTTATAGAACGAATAAAATCCTTTAACTTTGACATGGATAAAGTCAGTGTAAATTTTTTTCCATGGACAATCCAACCACTTACCATTAACTTAACCCTCACAAAATACCCCAAATCAACTACAAATCCGATTTTCATTAAACATTTATACTCCGAAGGGATATCTCATTATCCTAATTATCTCCAAATTTTCAGTGATGCCTCTAAAGCTCACGACGGACATGCTGTTGCATACTATTGTAAATACATCTCTCATACTATATCCATACTAACTGCTGCATCCCCACAGGCGAGACCACAGCCATTTTGGAAGCCCTAAGTTTCTTCAAAACGCATAGTGAGAATAAATGTGTCATCATCACCGACTCATTAAATGCTCAATTAAGTGTAAAACAAATATACCCTACAAATCTAATATTTCGGGCTATAAAAAATGAGATAAATATAATTTAATTAAATCAAAAAGAGTTAGCATTTATCTGGGTACCGTCGCATGTAGGAATAGCTGGAAATGAGAAAGTGGATAGTCTAACAAACACAAGTCGAATAAACCCACAATACACAAACAAATCAAGAAATTACCCATATTCCGATCTTAAAAACCTAATTAAAGACCACTGTATAAACATATGGCAAGACTACTGGAAAGATTCAGGAACCAAACTATATGAGATTTATCCCTTTGTGAAGACCTTCTTGAATAATCCATCCAATAGAAGGGACCAAGTAATAATTAACCGACTAAGAATTAGACAAACTGCACTGACTCATAAATTCTTAATCAACAAAGAATTTTCTCCAGCCTGCAGAAACTGTTCTCTCCCATTGACGGTGAAACATATTCTGATTCACTGCCAGTACGACGAAGAAACAAGAAGAAAATATGGAATCTCAGATGAGATCAAAACCACATTAATCATAAACACTGACTATGTAATAAATTATTTAAAATATTTACGTTTATATACATCTATTTAGTGTAAATAAAATGAATTCTTGTATATGTTACTCCACTAATAACCCTGCGTGGTTGATGTGGATTATATGTTAAAATAAAAAAAATGACGAGGAAGACAAAGAGAATTGGAATTCGACAAAAAGTGTGAATGTATGTCGGATGTTGAGTATTGGTAAAATATTGCCCAAAAAGGATAAACAATGATTATGTGGAAATTGTATCAGAAAATATGAATGATGAGTGGATAGATAAATTTACACGACCTCAAGGAAACAAATTTGTATGGCCAATAAATCCTAATAATAATACTGTACTACAACAGGATATTACAAAAGTCCTACCAGTCCTACCTAGTCGACAGACGTGAAATGTACCAATTTCCAGTTACCTTTAAAGGCTTTAACATTCAACATTAAGGCCCGGCGCAAATTGAGCACAGCCCACGCACATCCCACGCGCAGCCCACGCATGGTCCAACCTAGTCCAAGTACACCTTTTTCAATACTAACGCATATTGAACACAGCCCACGCCCATGTCAAATATTTGTGTAGAATATGTTCTATCCATAAAATTAGGAAAAACACAATTTAAGAGTGTGCTGATTGTGACGAAAAACCTGGACTATGCATAGGAGATTGTTTTCGCAAATACCATTCGACGAAAAGATAGACTGTCTTCAGTATATTAGTTTAAATAAAGACTATATTTTCTAGACCTTTTACCTAATATCCAACTAACAATTTTTAATCTGAAAATATAAGTATCTTGAAAACTTTCACAAATGCTAAGGGTAAAAAATTGAAATCGAAATTGAAAGATTGAAATTAAAGATTAGATTTTTGTTTCATTGAAAACTGAGCCTGATATTAATTTCTTGAGAACTTTTACATATAATAAGGGTAATAAATTGAAATCCTTCAACAAAAGACTATAACAGGTAGATACCCATAATTTTAATAAGCTGGTTTTTGCCGATATTGACTTTCTAATTACTAATTAGCATAACAGGCAGATATTGTAACTGGCCACAATGCCGTTGAATATTCTGACTTTTATTTCGCTTGTTTTGAAAACTCCATCGGATATTAATTTCTTGGAAACTTTTACAATGCTGAGAGTACTAAGTTGTAATTTTCTAACAAAATACTATACAAAGTATTGTTGAAATAAATGAAATAACGTAATAAACAACAGAAGAGCTAAAAAAATACAAACATTTCAGATCGTATTTTGTTTTCGAGATAAATTTAAATTTGAGAATTTTTATTATGTTTCTACTTTCTTCATGTTCTTTTTTAATTTAATTTCGGTGTATAAAGCCATTACAATATGAGCATCACGAAAAAGTACCATCAAATTTTATTTTGAAGTTTTCATCTTAGGTGTTCATAAACATTTTGCTAGGAAATAAATATTTATTTTTTTTCTTAGTTCTCGATTTGTTATATTTCTCATTTGATTTAATAAAAAATAATTTAAATTATTTTTTTTTGAATTATTATAACGGCGACTTACATCCCAGTCGCTTAGCACAAATAAAGAAAATATTAGTTTTGTTCTCATGTAATCTTCATTACTAGTATCATACAAGACACTAAAGCTTCGAACAATTTCAATAAACTTTTCCATTTTCACTGAATAACAAAAAATTGGTCACACAAAACAAAATAACTAAGGTTAGGTAGAGACCCACGACCCACGAAACTGTGTTTGTCACGAAGTTGTGCTAGCACAACTCTATCCACACCAACCAAGTCTGGCAGCAAGCCTGGCCGTGGTTTGGGTTTAATATGCGTCGCTCCGTCTAAAACCACGTTTTACAAAATAACACACGCGTGGGCTGCGCGTAGGATGTGCGTGGGCTGTGCTCAATTTGCGCCGGGCCTAATTGCAAGAAAACTTGGAGTGTTTGTTTAGTTTTATTATATTTTTGTTTCCTTTGTTCTGACATTGTCTTCAAAAATTTAAATTCTTCAACAAAATAAATTCTAAAAAAAAACACAAGTAGAGAGCTTGAATTACATTTTTATACTTTTTATTTTTATACTATTATACAATACCTAACCCCAGATAATCAAATATAATATTTACTACAAAAATGTAAACTTTCTCCACATTTGCCCCGGTCCCTGGGGTAAATGTGATATATTGATATGATTTTAAAAAACATCATGCAACATTAACAATACTAAAGATTCTTTAATTTTTTTTCTACACAATGAATACAAAACCGTTCAAGAAGTATATGACTTTTTTTTGATAAATTTTTGAAACGTTTCTTTACATTATTATATTAACCCTTTCACTCACGGCGTCCACAAATGTGGACATACATTTCTACGCGCTCAGTTGTACGAAATTATAAGAGTATGACTGTTTGCTCATGTTGTCCACGTTAAGGGACCTCTAAATATTCCTTATTCATGCACTAGACCCCATCTGTTGGCAAGTAGAAGAAACGATCGGAAAAGTTTTAGTAAGATTCTGGCCACTGTGCAGACATCTATACCGCGCAAAGAACAGTAATTTATTTTTAGACTAGGTGACTCACCCACATGTTGTAAAAATTATTATATGTTCGAAAAGGTGCATTTTTGTGGAATACGTAGTTGTAAGTGGAATAAATTGATTTTTGGCTTTGTATTCTTACTGAAAAGTGACGTCCTCACTTGTGGACTCTGTGAGTAAACGGGTTCTTCTAGAGTAGGTAAATATAACCTATATTTGGATCAGCATCAGGATAGGTTTTGGAAAGTTCGTCCTTTGTACGAAACAATACGCGCCCGTTTGCTGTCACTTCCATTGGAGAAAAATCTGTCAATTGATGAACAAATAGTGCCGTTCAAAGGATCACTCAATGTGAAGCAATATATAAAAAACAAACCAAATCCATGGGGAATAAAAATATTTGCAATTTGCGGTGCAAGTGGGCAGATGTTCGATTTTATAATTTATCAGGGAGCTAAAACGGAATTGTATCAAACACAAATGACAGTTTTCGGACAAGGCGCAGCTGTCGTTTTGAAGCTGTGTGATCGCATCACAGAGGATAATTGCAAAGTCTATTTTGATAATTATTTCTCTAGTTATTGGTTGTTACAAATTCTGCGCCAAAAAAATATCTTTGCTGTTTGTACTACACGGCAAAATAGATTCAGTAGCCCTAGCTTCTCTGCTGATAAAGTAATGAAAAACCATGGACGTGGTAGTGCAGAAGAAATAATCAGCAACGATGGGGAGGTGGGGGATGACAAAGTGGTATAATAACAAACCTGTAATAATGGCATCTAATTATATAGGAATTGGGACGATCGACAAGTGTAAACGATGGAACAAAACAAACAAGACCTATATAGAAATAAATAGACCACAGGTAATAAAGGATTACAATTTGTCAATGGGAGGTGTTGACAAATTCAATTTCTTACTAACATTGTACAGGACCTTTATTAGGTCACGTAAATGGACATTGCGGATGTTCACACATGGTATAGATTTAGCCTGTACAAATGCATGGCTAGAATATAGTAGGCAAGCAACAAATTTGCAAATACCAAAGCAAAGAATCTTAGATTTGGTGCACTTTCGCGCAGAAATTGCTGAAGTTCTTTTAGCTATAGAAAAAACAGTCAATAAAAAAAGAGGACGACCGCTTTCGATAAGGCCTGAACCAAACACACCTAAAAGAAAAAACATTGAAGTACGTCCAGTGAAGGAAGTAAGATTGGACAATGTGGGACATTTACCTTCTATTGATAAATTGAAAAATGCTTCGCGTTGCAAGAAACCCGGATGCAAGGGAAAATCTCGTACATCTTGCCTCAAATGCAAAGTTCATTTATGTTTGCCCAATATTAACAATTGTTTTGTGGAGTACCACAGTATATAAATCATGTATAATGTGCATTGAATAAATATTATCATTGTTCTCATTATTTATTTTTTCTCTAACCCACAGTCTTTTTACCCCGTTATCTCACAATGTCCTCATGTGTGGACATGCTATTTTTTCAAAAATAGAAATACTTTTGTTTAAAAAAATCATGAGCGAAAGGGTTAAATGTTTTAATATTTCCCCCTAAAAATGTTTTAAAAATTTACCCTATACGTATAAATACTTTCAATAGTTATACTCACCCTTAATAAATCACTGTATATATACTAGTTGGTTCAATTAAATATTATTTGAAAGATAATTTAAGGCATCTTGATTTGCAGGGCGTTACCTATCCAGCATGTCACGGTATAATGAGACATTGGGCCCCTCCATTAGAAAGATCCCGTCTAGCAACCCTTGCCTTTAGCGGTTGTTATGCAGGGGTTATGTTCTCAATGCCAATTTCTGGTGAACTTATAGAGCACTTCGGACCTCTAGCTCCGTTCTACTTTTACGGGGTAATGGGTATATTTTGGTAAGTTAAAAAAGATTAAATATTTTAATTTTTAACTAAATTTTTTATTCGATAAATATAGAAAAAGCTGAATAAGGAATCCGAAAGTAAAATTTATAATTTTCTGTAAATTGTCAAACATTTTAAGTTTCCTGCATAATAATTTATTAAAATGCCTCCTAAAGATAGGTTTATTCATAGGATAACTAAAAAAAATTGAGCAAAGTGCCATTTTTGCAAGGTAGAAAATGGAATGACAATATGCTCTTCTTTCCCTTTCGAAAAAGATAAAGTAATCCATATTAAGATGAAAAATAATCAAAAAATGATAGAAAGACCATGCTACGCTATTATCAACCTAGAAAACAATACTACCATCTCCTTTTTTATATGATTCTGATCTTCTGTTTTTATTTTGATTCTTTCTTTTTTAGTCCATTTTGTTAAAAAACCTTTTCTCTGATATACTCTGACAACTTTTTAACACCTAAAACTATTTAGTCAAGGCTGTGAGGCCGCTCCCGTTGGGAAAATGTTTCTGATTCGGTTTCTTCGCATTATTCCGGTTCAAAAATGTCCCCTTTAAACAAATCTGAAGGGTGCCGGGCGAAATTTTTGGGCAGAAATTGTTTATTTTTTTAAACAAAGTCCAAAAATAATTTTTTTTATCTGGAAAACTTTTTTTAGGTTTTTTGGGCCATTTTAAACAAAAAAGTCTTTTGTCATTTTTCTCTAAAGTTCATAGTTTTCGAGTTATAAGCGATTTAAAGTCTAAAAAACGCGAAAATACGCATTTTTGAGGCTTGAAAACACATATGTAAATTATTATTTTTGAGGTTACCATGTGTCTAATTAAGTTTAAACATTCAACTTCAAGATTGTGAAGAGTAATCGGGGCTTACTTTTAATTTAGACCGTTGTTTTTTAATTGTTAAGTATGCGCGTACACTCGATTTTTGAGCCGCCGCGGCGCCGCGCGCTACCGTGCGCCTCTATCGTACTTATGCATAGTTTACATATTACTTACAAATAATTATGATTTATTGAGTGCGTCAGAGGTACAAGGTATATTGGCTAGATTAAATTAAATTTTTCAGTCACACTGTCTTTTCGTCGAAGAGCAGCATTTTGTATTGTTATGTAAAAATCTACTTTAGGTTTTTGCACTAACTTAATATTGTTGATGTTATTACAAAAAAATACAAACTAAATTTTCTTCGATGAGTTTTCATTTAAGAAGAGGTACGGAAAAAGACATTTTAAATCCATTCACAATTTTTTTAACAATACATTAATAATATAATACCCTTTTAATGGGCATTAAACAATAGTCTTCCTAATGATCGTTTAAGTAATAACAAATCAAGTATGAGCGCGCGATTGTTAAACAGGTAAAAACTTGCATTTTTGCGATAGTATATTGTTTTTAAACACCGCGCAATTTAAAATTAAGTTTACTAATATTAATATTTACTGCATTGTATTATTTAAATAATAATTTAAAAATATTATTTACAATTGATATAAATAAATATATACTCAATAAATAATAATTATATTGTTCAAATTTGGAAGAAAAAAAAAACTTTATAGGTACGGTTATTACATTGCGATGATTGATTTATTTAATTAGCCCAATGACAATAATTAATACCAACATAAATAAATTATGGAAAAAAACTATGTTAATAAACTTCAAGGATTTGTTCGGGTTTTTTTGCGTAAGTGTATATGTAAACTATGCATAAGTACGATAGAAGCGCACTCTAGCGCACCGCGTTGCGGCGGCTGAAAATCGAGTGTACGCGCATATTTAACAATTAAAAAACAACGGTCTAAATTAAAATAAGCCCCGATTACACTTCACAATCTGAAGTTAAATGTTTAAACTTCAATTTAGACACTTGGTAACCTCAAAATAATAATTTACATATGTGTTTTCAAGCCTCAAAAATGCGTATTTTCGCGTTTTTCAGACTTTAAATCGCTTATAACTCGAAAACTATCAACTTTAGAGAAAAATGACAAGAGACTTTTTTTTAGAATGACCAAAACACCTAAAAAAATGTTTTCAGATTAAAAAAAAATATTTTTGGAATTTGTTTAAAAAAATTGTTTAAACAATTTCTGTCCAAAAATTTCGCCCGGCACCCTTCAGATTTGTTTAAAGGGGACATTTTTTAACCAGAATCCGAGAAGAAACCGAATCAGAAACATTTTCCCAACGGGAGCGGCCGTCACAGCCTGGACTAATTTTACTTTATATTGCTTTACACCTGTATGTTAAAATACAATTATTAAAACTGAAGAAGTTCAGAAATATTGCACTTAACATTTTCTATTAAAACACTAAAATAGTATTTTTTCATTTTTTCTTTTTCCTTGCTCTCTCCTTCTACCTATATATAATTTTCTGAAAACATTTCTATTTACCCTGAGATATACTAGTTAGTTTTCTACTTTATTCACCAAAATTCCCATAGATGAAACCATTTCTATCTTGGACTCCAAATATCAAATCCCCCAAGACAAATTATCTCTCATAAAACACTGCATGTCTAATACATACTTTTCATTTCAAATTCATTTCTATCGTCAAATGAAAGGTGCCCCAATGGGATCCCCCATCTCTTCCGTAATAGCTGATATCTACATGGAATATTTTCAAACAGCAGCCCTGTCCTCATCAAATCTCAAACCCACCTGCTTTTTACGGTACGTTGATGACACCTTTGTCATATGGCTCCCATGGTAAGGACACTTTAGATCTCTTTCTCTCACCTGAATGTAATACATCTTAGTATGTATTCAAATCATAATGGAAGTTGAGTCTGAAGCGTCTTTGCCATTCCTTGATGTTCTTATTCAGAAAAACCTACCTCACAGATTTTCCTATTCCGTGTATCGGAGACCCAGTCATACAAACCGCTATCTCAATGCCAGTCACATCATCACCCTTTTCAACTCAATGCAGTTATCAACACTCTTATTTTCCGTTCCATAAGACTTAGCGATAACAATCACAGATCATCCAAAATCATTTCAATAATGCAAACACTCTTACAAAACGGCTACCACAAAACCCAAATCAATAAGAGCATTCAAAAACATCTAAACCCCATTACATCCAAAAAATCCTTGCCAGTCGGATCAACTCAAAATCTTTTTACCTTTTATTAAAGGTGTTACTGACAAGATCAGTAGAACTCTTATTCCTCTAAACATCAAAACCATCTTCACTACTCACTCTAAGTTGTCCAATCTTGTCAGATCCGTAAAAGACCAAATCTCCAATGAAGACCATGGTTGTCTACGAGATACGTTGTTTCTAGTTGATTACGTACATACATAGGACAGATAAACCGACAAATCTCTAACTGTATTACGAACATTCTATATCAGTTAAACATTCCGATACCACTTAAGCCCTAGCACAGCATCATATTCAGACAGGCCAAAAAATAGATTTTGACAAAGCAAAAGCCATCGCTCACATCCGCTCGTTAAAATCGAGAATCATTCGTGAAGCCATCGAAATTGAAAACCGGCTTAACAGCTTAAACACGCACAATGACGCTGAACGACTACCGGCAACATGGCAGCCTCTACTTCAGCGACCCCTGCCCCAACCCATGATACTTGTCATATATAGTATCATGCCCTAACCCACACCACTCAGACCAGGTCAACTCAGACCACGTCAGCGCATACCGTTCTCGCTCATATTGAGAGTATAAAAGCGGGCACACAGGATAAAACCAGTCGTCACTCGACACTGAGGAGTAGGCAGCTTGAAATCTTAGACCATTTTATACACGATACTTAGTACCTCACGAGTGAGGGGAGTAGTCCAAATTCGAAAGGAACCGTATCCCTCTTGATAAGGGCTCCAAAATGGGTGCTGAAAAGTCGAGTATTAAATTCTCAACATAAATAAACACCTGCAATAAAACAACCAGCAGTTTAAAAATAAAACACCTGTAAAGATAGAGGTATTAACATTTACCAAATAATAAAATGAGAACAAGATCCAGTTTAAACATAAATAAACACCTGTAATAGATACAGGTATTAATGTTTACCGAATAATAAAATGAGAACCTGATTATACTAATAGAAGTTTGTAATACCGGAATCAAAACAAAACTGGACTATTAAAAACTCGATTATTTAGACATATTATTATTTACCAAATGATACAATTATAATTTCTTTTATTTTTAGGTATGTTTCCTGGCTTTGGTTAGTTTTTGAGAAACCAACGTACCATACTTGTATAGATATCAAAGAATTAGCCTTCATAGAAAATTCTCTAGGTACTGCACAACAACACTACGTAACTCCAACTTTAACTAACACACCATGGAAGTCATTCTTCACATCATTACCTTGTTATGCCATCTTCGTAGCGAATTTCTGCAGATCGTGGAACTTTTATTTACTAGTTTTATTTCAAGCGTCATATTTTCAAGACAGTTTTCATTCAGGAATGACGGAAGTAAGTGTTGTTTTTAAATAAGATTATAAAATTGTACATTTTATTGTATTGAAACCAGTACATCTGATTATACCTATCCAGAAAACGCAATCTATGATATTATCAAGATAACTCAGATGAATGTTAACAGTTTATAATAAAAGTGTGAAGCAAGTCATGTCGTTGACAAGAATAGAAATCTAAAACATCACAAACACATGTGAAATCAGAATAAAGGAAAATATTGAAGCAGCAGCAAAAGACAAAATATGAATAGAAATTTATGACATAAAGATCATTGGTTTGATGATGAATACAAAAATGTAACAGGAGAGAAAAGTGAAGAAGCCTTTTGAAAATACTTACCCGATGAATTAGAAAAACTGTAGAGAACTACCAGACAAAGAGAAGAGGAGGAAAGAGGATAAAAAAAAGAAAAAACGAAACCTTTTAACTAAGGAACTTAAATACTATAGAAAACCTTAACAAAGAAAAAGAAGTCAGAACATTTTATAAGACAGTTAATCTCAACAGAAAAGAATTCAAGGCAACTGCAAACCAATGCAAAAGTCTCTTACCAATAAGTAAAGATCGTAATATAATCAATAACAATAAAAACAACCGTTTTAAAAAATAAAATAGTTTAAAAAAAAACTACGTAAATATTGATAATTGTATCTCATTTTTTAGAATGCTTTATTGGGAGCGTTACCACATTTGTTGATGACTGGAATTGTGCCCACTGGAGGAATTTTGGCAGATCGTCTGAGAAAAAAAGGCATACTCACCACAACTCAAGTTAGAAAACTTTTTAATTGTGGAGGTAATGTTTTGTTTGTAATTGTTTATAGTTCATAACCTACCAACTAGGGCGGTCCGATAAGTAATTAGCCAACAAAAGAAAAACGAATTTTTAGCTCGATTCTTTAACCCTGAATCTTTATGAAAAATACGATTTTTCGAGGTCTGCACAGTAGGTTTTCGTGGAGCCGATAACCTACTTATTCGAGTTAAATTTCTGTCCGGTGAGTGACTTAATTAAATTTTGAAAAAAAACTCACACGGGGTCAAATCTGGAAAATATGGTAAATGGGTCAGCAGTTCTTGGCCCAATTCGACCAATTTGGCCATGACGAAGGGATGAGACGCTGGCTTGTTCATGGTGCAAGAGCACTTTTTCCATTTTTCTAAAATCCAAAAAAAAAACAAACAAAACTCCGAGTTCCGATTCGGCTGAAAATTTAACGTTAACCATCTATGAGAATTGGGATATAACAGATTTCTGTTGCGATAGCGGCGCCATCAAGCGTGTGAGGCTAAGTACTTATCGGACCGCCTACGTAGATTAAAATACAAGCTAAGTGACATTGAAGCTTTACTGAGGGTTAAAGAAACTTAAGTCTTTATGTTATGAAACAAACTTAAGTCTTTATGAAAGACTTAAGTTTGTTTTTATAAATTGTGATAGAATTTTTTTCCAAATGCTTTTATTTTTTTCTACCTTTTCTTATATCTTCTTTAAATTGTTTCACATACGGTGTAGATATTTTTTACATTATTTATTTATTCTAGAACATAACAAAACATGTCTCTTTCGAAACTTAGTAAGAAGTAAACATGTTCAATATTTATTTTAATTTAATATGAAGGATATGTTGAAATTGCTGGTTAATTAATTGAAATAATAAATAATTTTAATAGAATATGTTAATTATAAAATATCGAAAAATACTTGGAGTAACCTACAAATTTTATCAATTCGTGAAAAAACTCACTTATCTTTTGTTGAAATGTGACGGCATCACCGGGGAGATTGATATATTTGACGCTAACCAGTGCTTGCGCTTTGTCCTGGAGTTTTGTACTGGAGTTCCCGGTTTGTCTGTTTATGTAGGGATAAAATCTGTAATTGTGAGGTGGTCTCTTAGAAATAGCTAAATAAAGCGTACCCTAATAAATTAGGATTTTGAAACAGTTATTTTTGGTAGTGATACCTAATTACGTATACAATCCCTCACAAATTTGATAGTGTAAAAGCTTTTGAGCTTTCGGAGTTAAAACTAACAGTTGTGCTAGCCAGTTTGAACGTTAATTTAAATGAAAAAATGCAAAGATATATACTGTAAGGCCATATATCATAATACAGTTGTAAAAAATATTAAAGCCAAATATGTACATAAACACTAAATACTTTTTCCAACACTTTAGTAAGACGTAATTCTGTTCAATATTTCTTTTAATGAATTTATTTTGTTACTGTTTATTTATCTCATATATTTTACATTTTTTCTTTCCACATATTTAAGTAGCGTTTATTTCTTAACTTTAATTATATGATTATATAATTTACAGGATTTGGCATGGAAGCCACGTTCTTCCTTATAATGGCCTATTCTCATACGATAACACAGGGAATGACAGCTCTTTCAATAGGAGTTGGTTTCAGTGGATTCGCCATATCTGGCTTCAACGTCAATCATCTTGATATAGCTCCGAGATACGCCAGTATTTTGATGGGAATGTCAAACGGGATTGGAACCATAGCTGGAGCGATTGTACCATATGTAGTTCATCTTATAGTAAAACATAAGGTAAATAACTGTTATACTATTCGAATTAATAAATTAATAAATTGGAAAAAAGTAAAAAAAGACATATTTGTTCAAAAACCTTAGCTTTCTAATCACTACATTCTATAAGTAGACTGAAAAATATGTATATTAGTACGAAGCATGTCCACTTTAGTAGAAATGAACTCTCCAACGCGTCTTTGTATTAAGTTTACTAGTTTAACATACATACATTTGACTTCATCATCATGTAACCATACGTGTATAGTACTTGTAATCATTTTTTTTTTGTGGTGCAATTCATCTTAGCTAAACAATTCTTGAGAATATGCGTTTTATAAGTTTTTAGTAAATAAGTCTGGTGTATTACCAAGCCAATCAAACACTTTAACTTTATTTTCCCACATAAAAGTCTAGACCAATTTCGAATTATGACAAGAGGTCGAGTAATGTTGAAATGTTTCATTAATTTTTTTCATAAATGAAACCTTCTATATGCCTTTAATATAAATTAATCTTCCAGTGCCATCTGTTATAACAAAAACCTCAAATAATATTTTTAAAATGATATTTTTAAGTCTGTTGGATATAATCTAGTCGCAGAGGTTCACTGTCACTTCATCTATTCATACTTTATTTATATTCCCATACAAAAAAATGTAATTCTTAATAAAATCACCTTTTTCCAGTCATCAACAGTGCACAATCGATATTTTTTTGGTTTAACTATTTTCATTATTTTCTGTATTAGACATTGTGTTTTCTTCGCTTTTCTTGCCTTCCAGTCAAATTCCAGAAGCGTTTTACTAACAGTTGAGGTACTTACTTTAACACTACATTCCAATAAATATTTTTGAAGGTCTGTGCTTGTGCTTAGGTACATCTATTCTATTTGCGACCACATTTTTCATTTTTATTAATTTTTAATTTTTATTATCCATTTTTTAGCGACGATCTTTCGGAATCTTGAAAATGTTCTTAAAATTCTAGAGAAACACTTTATTTTCTCACACCAACTTCAGTAGCTATATCTTTTACAGTTATAGACGTACCGTTTATTAAGGGCGAATACTTTAGCACGTTTAATAGGAATTAATATCTATCTTCGATAAAAGCAAAGTAAGACGTATAACTCGGAACATAACAATATAACCACCGGCTGCTACGCAGAAACTGATACTCTAAAACCAGTCAAACCAGTAAATCCTAGTTAAGATCAATCCGTCACATGGGCTCTATGCAGATAAAACTGGTTTGGAGAGATTTGGAACATCACGGATACTTACATATAAACTTACATAATATAAGCTACAGCTCTAATTCTGGAGGGATCACTATTAAATCCACTCTCATTAGCATTAAATACAAACATGGATTACTGATATCATTAAGCCCTTTATTCTGAACAACTTCTTTTAGTTTATAATAAAAAGAATAAGATTTCTGGCTTTCGGAGCGTCTTTTCCAAGTTTTTAAATATGCTCAGGTTTCTTTAGCGAAAATGAAGGATGACGTTTCATAAATTCAAGATACCAGTCTTCACCAAGGGTGTCATCTTTGAAGCGAGTTTTTAGGCAATTGTCTTTAAAGTATTTACCAACTGCATTTAGTAACTCTTGTTTATCGTAAGGATGGCACACGTTTGTTCGGATTTTTAAACAAACTCATCTTATCAATGAGTATGTTTCTACCCTTTATGCGATTGTAAATAACGCAATGTGGAATACTGTATGTAGTGAGCAGCAGCCTACATATATGTTTTTTTTTTTCTCTCTTTTAACGTCTGCTATACCTCATTTTCTAAATCATTTAGAGTATTTTAGTGTTCTCCAATAGTGAGATGACTATGGATTAGGGAGAACGAAACGAACGTGAGGACAGTATGGTACAATTTTGTCAAGCGGAGGAGTTAGTAGTTGCTAACACTCTTTTCTAAGTTACCTAACAGACGACTGTACACATGGAAATCTCCGAGTGACACCAAAGATAGAGTAGTCAGAAACCAAATTTGACTTTGTCCTTGTGTAGTCAAAGATTCCGCACCATTCTATACTCCTCAGCTATAAAACCTACGCCAGGAGCAGGTATAGTCTCGGATCACAATTCTGTAGTAGTCACATTAAGAATAAAACTTAAAGATACTTAAAAAACACATTACAGAAACAAATTGACGTGAGAAGACGCGAAATGAACAACAAATAATAAAAAGTGAAAAACAATACTGAACATCAACGAAAATTTACAAAATATAGAGAGAACTGAATCAGAAATATGATAACATAGACCGAAAATGGTGGAGAATATTAAACATGCCGTAATGTTTGGCAGGGCAGAGAAAATTTAACACCGAAAGAAAGGACACATAAAGAAATGATGAATGAGAGAATACTACAGTTGATGCGTGGTGAAAGAAGGGTACACAAAACAATAATCGAAAAAGATACAAAGAAATAGATAAACTGATAAAAAATGAAATAAGAGAAGCTAGACAAAGATGGCTAAGTGTGAGCAATGCCAGGAGATTGGAACAATTGGGAGCGAAAATATGACTTTTTTAATGTACACAAAAAGATTAAAGAAATGACAGAAGGGAGAATAACACACAGACAGGGCAGATCAAAGATACGGATGGTATAATTTTAACAGATTTACAACAAAAAATGAAACGAATGGACAGAATACATATCACAACCGTTTGATCGACAAAGATATGACAAGAAATCTCAAACGAATATACAGATTATACAGGGCCTGATATAATCAGAGAAGAAATAGAATATGCAATCAAACAAGCAAAAAGTGGTAAGGCCCCCGGGTCCTGATGAAATTCCCGTAGAACTGCTCAAACTTATGGACGATGAATATATTAAATACTCTAAATAGATCTCTTTATAACACAATATATAGAACTGGAATAATACCTAGGAATGGCTCCGTTCGACTTTATAACTACTGCAAAAAAGCAAATACAAAGGAATGCAACGAAGGTCGTAACGATATAGCATTTTGATGAGTCAATGCTCTAAAACTGTTCCTTAAAAATAATCCATAATAGGATCTATAGGAAAATTAACGTAGACATCAGTACCACTCGCAGATGGGATTCAGAAAAGGGGCTGGGTACAAGGGGAGGCTCTGTTTTGCAATGCAACGTTCTCTCACAGAGATGCTTAGACATGTAACCAAGAAATCTACGCCTGCTTTATTGATTTCGAAAAGGCCTTTTGACAAAGTACAACATGAACCACTAAGACAAGTTCTAATAAGAAAAATATAGACATCCGACGATATTCGAATTATATGCAATCTATATTGGAATCAAACAGCAAATTATCAAGGTTGAGAAGCAGACTAACAGAAAGAAATTCAAATCCGCCTCGGCAGGAGTCCCTGGCCAGGGATGATGTATCTCATATCCGCCACTTATTTATTTAATCTGTATAGTGAAGCTATCTGTGAAACAAGCACTCGAGGAAGAAGATCTTGGTCTGATATAACAAATTGGTCAGACTGATCAATCAATATAAGGTATGCTGACGATACAGTTTCTCCTAACGGTAAACGCTAGTTAGAACTACAAACATCTCGTTCCAAGTACCTCAATACATACTGTAACAGTTACGGCTTGAAAATTAATTTGAAAAAAAACTAAATTTATGGTAATCACGAAATCAAAGAACATCAGAGCTAATCTTGTAATAGACCATACAACGATTGAGCGTGGTGCCCTGTTATAAATATCTAGGTGCCGTGGATCACAGACGATACTGATCAAATAAAAGAGATTAGATGTAGAATAGAAAATCGCTAGATCAGTTTTTAATATGAATGCGCAAACTCTTTTGCAATCGTGATATCAATATAAAAGTATACGAATAGACGAATGCTGCGGTGTTATGTCTTTTCTACCCTGTTATATGGAGTTGAGGCTTGGACACTAAAACAGTTGCCATAAAACACATCGAAGCTTTCGAGATGTGGGTGCTACAGGCGCATTCTCAGAATATCAATAATGGACCGCGTCACTAACACGCAAGTACTCCTAAACTGTAGACAAAAGATGCGAAATTCTAAATGAGATAAAAACTAGAAACTAGAACTGCTCGTCTTCTATTGGGGAACCGTCCCGTCTCTTGCGTCTTTACTACTCTAATTGTTGTCATTCGGCTTATATGATCGTTCCCTTTTAAATCTTCTATTTCTTACCCAGTTTTTAATATGTTGTCCAGCTGTGCATCTATGTCGTATATCTGTATTTCTGACTCTGTCCCATAGTATCTTACCATCAATGCAATTTGATGATATGGTTTGAGCTTATGTGATAGGCGGTTGGTTATGACGTATTACTACAGAAAAATATCATTTGGAATTAAGTCGGCAGAAGAAGGTGGTGACTGAATAGCTATTCCTCCATATTTTTGCTGAAAAATAGTTTCATTAAAACTAACAAAAATGTTAAAATTATGCGTAAATTTATTATTTCTGTATGATAAATAAAAAGTGAAGCCCACCATTGTTAAAGCTCTATCAACTAATTGTGGTGATATTTATTGTCATATAATTAATGACAATTCAAGAAGTAAGTTTTAGATGATACTAAATTTATTTTTAATCCATTGAAACTATATTTTATGTTTATAAAGTTAATAATATAAAAGTGTAAAATATTCCTCATAAATCACATCCATAAAACCAAAGCACAGCTTCGCTACTAACTCCGTTTCCCTCTTTTGGTGCAACAAATCACACGTCACGGAAAAGCCACTTTAAAATAAAAAGTGATGCCCAGATTATATTTCACAAAGAGCAATGTGCCCGCCAGAGTAGAACAACCCCAACTTTTTCTGCACGGCTGCCTCTGCAAAATCGAGCCCGCTGTATCTGTATGCATGTCATTTTCGCCGTTCCGAAATGATACCATTGTTCATTGGAAGTTTATAACTCAGCAGAGAAAGAGGCGTCCAAGCGAAACACTAAAACAGTAAAACAAACATATTGTTAGCCATTTTTTATGTATGTGTTTGATATTAAAAAAATATTAATTTTAATTATGAAATTGTATTTTTAAACTTTTTAATCTTATAATATGTGATTCGTACTGACATTTCACACCAAATAAATGAGATTCTACCACACAGTTAGGAGAATTTATGGATTTACCACACACACACCTTGAACAAATGTAATTTATTAATGTTATTTTTCAGAAAAAAGAAGAATGGAGAATAGTTTTTATAATATCAGCCCTTGTCCATTATTCGGGAATTATATTTTATGGGTTATTTGCCTCAGGAGAACTTCAAGAATGGGCAGACCCAAAATTTGAAGAAGAAAAGCAATGGAATCAAATGAATGAAGCCATGCCAATTAAAAAACCACCCGTAAGTAAAATTATAAATAATGATAAATATAGAACTATAGAAATAATTGAGTAATTGCACTAGACAATGTAATCAAAAATATACTTTTTGATCACCATCTCACCATGCTGAATGACATAACATTTTTGGTTTGACATAGTCAATAGAAAGTTTGGTTAGAAGAATATATTTTAATAAATATTTTTGGGAAAATTTAGTAAAAATCGTCTTGAAACAGCTATTTAGCACCTCAAAGGTAAACTATCATATCTGCAAATTTCACTGTTTTCTGATTATATTTTTAATAGGTACATCTCAACACGAATTTTCTGGAGATAAAGTATCGTAACTGATACTTTTCGTTCTAATTTAAAACACAATGTAAAGGAAAAGGTTTAGGAAACAAACTAAACATTTTTTGTTCTTCACCACAAACAGTTACAAATATAAATAATAACAATAAAATATAAAATATTAAAAATAAACTTACTATGTTCTATCAGTTTACAAATTCTTGAAGTTGGAGATTTTACAAGAACTTCCAATTGTTACTAGGCAATATTTGGTAACAGAAATAAAATTATTACAAATGAAAAATATCTTTTTAGGGGAGGATGGGGCATCATGACCATGGGGTAATGTAAACCACATCGGTTATTTGTTTAAAATTGGCATCACTGCATCTATAAACTACTACAAATATGCGTAGCGTAGACATCTTATCTACTTTTAGTATGAGTTTGAACGCACGGGTGAGTACGTTCAGACAGTTTATAATTAAAACAACGTGTTTCAATCGCTGCTAATCTAAGGAATTTACTACTTTTGCTGTGTTGCTTCTAAAATATGCTTTTAATAATTAAATTTGCTTTTGATACGTTGTGAACTGGTACGTTAATTTCCATATTTTGAATGTGTAACTACGCATGGAGCAACGTGGATTAGGAGTGGTTCACATTGCCCCATTATATTTTTCTTAACACTTTTTTTAATTATATGCTTTTTTTGCAGTTAGAAATGGTACGAAATTATGTGAGGTAAACTGAGCAACAATCCTGGTCTCCGTTTATACGGAATTACTTTGCTTGATCTTCGTCACCTAGCTTTTCAGTTAGCCGAAAAAAATAACATAGACCATCCAATATAATAAAACAAACAAACTTGCAGGTTTTAGATTGGGCGTACGGATTTCGAAAACGTGCACCCAGGGCTTTCATTACGTAAACCCGAATCAACATCTGCTGCAAGAGCTGAAGCTTTTAATCGTTACAATGTAAAACAATTTTTTGATCTGTATAAAGCTACTTCGGATTCTAAACATGTCAATCCAACGCGTGTTTTTAACTGTGACGAAACAGGTCTAGGTACTGTCCCCCAAATGTAATAGTAAAATCTTGGCGCATAAAGGACGGAAACAAGTTGGACGGCTTACTTCTGCTGATAGAAGTGAATAACAACAGCCGTTATTTGCATGTCATCATCAGGAATCTTCATACCGCCGATGTTAATCTTTGCAAGAAAGAGAATGAAAGTCGAACTATAAGCTGGTGCACCTCCAGGTTCAATATTCGCCTGTAGCGATAGTGGCTGGATAAATAGTGAACTCTTTTTTTATTATGGGTACACATTTTTCTTCAACAAACGAAACCAAGTGAAGACGATTCGATCTTATTGATTTTGGATGGACACAGCAGCCATACAAAAAAACATAGAAGTAATTAATTTGGCTAGGGAAAAACATGTACATATCATTTGTTTTCCCTCCACATTCCACCCCATCGAATGCAGCCAACCGATGTTGGTGTCATGGCTCCTTTTAGCACGATATTATGATATGGCATTAGAAAAGTTTCTTAATAACAACCCAGGCAGAGTGGTAACAGCTTTCCAAATCTCTAAATTTTTGGTGAGGCTTTCTTACAAGCTGCAACACCTTTGACTGCTATTAACGCTTTTAAAAATGTGGGAGTAGTACCTTATGATGCCAATATATTACAGACCTCGATTTTGCACCATTTGCTACGACTGAAAGAGATTTGGAGAATTAATAGTCTACCATGTCAAGTCAAGATGAGGCAATTCCTTCAACTTCAACTGCAGAGCCTCACTTAAGTCAATATGAGGTAATTGCTTCAACCTCAGTTGCAAAGCTTTATACTGGTAACGATTTTCAATTGACAATTTCCCCTGCACACAATAGAGCAACAACTTCATTTGAAGCAAACAGCCCTAAAGACATTCGTCCTACTGCCAAGAGAAGTAAATTAATGGAACCAAAGAGAAATCTAAAAAAGGTAAAACGGCTGTACTGACATCTGTCCATATAAGATAGAATTAGAACTTGAAATAAACACGAAGGAGCAATAGAAACAATGAAAAAGGAAAAGCTAAGAAAAAAATAAATGATGATAAGCACGAAGATAGTGAAAGAAGTAACAAAAAAATGAAAGTTTGTCCTTCCAAAGATGGTAGGGAAAGAAAAAAAATAAATGTAACCACAAGTACAAGATGATGGCAATGGGTGAAGATGCTGAATGTTTTACTGTAACGAGTGGTTCTACTCATCAGCCAATGAAGAAGGATGGGTACGTTGCTCGGCCTGTCTGAAATGGGCTTCATGAAGCATAGTGCGGAATAGTCCAGAAGATAATGAAGAATTTCAGTGTGAATTGTATTGTATTCTGAATAAATATAACATGTATCTATTTTTACTAATGTTCTGTTTACCGGTTTTCTAAGTATTTTTAATAAAAAAATTCTTTTTTACTTGATTTTATTTACCAAACATAGCCATGAGATTAATGAAATAGGTGACTTTCCTCAGTAGTTCACATTGCCCCCACCCTATGGGGCAATGTAACATTTTGACATATAGTCAGTTGTCATTTTTTGTTGAAAATACGTTAAATAAATTATGTTTCAATTTCACTAAATGACAGTTAAATGTTTAATGAACGCCCCAATTAATTAAACAAAAAAAATCATTTCTGGTTTAACAGTATGTGCATATCTTCCTTAGATGGTTCACAATGCCCCATCCTCCCCTAAGTGGAACTATGCATATGTGGTTAACCATTATTTAAAAAACAAAAACAACCTAATGTGGTAAAAATAAAACTAGCTGTCAGATGTCAACACTAAATTTTAAAACTCAAGAACAATTTTTATGACAGCTAGGCCACACCCTAACATTTACAATTTTAATTATTACAATTTTATTAACCTATATGAAAGCAATTATTAATAGAAAATTGTTATTTTTAATTTAACAGTTCAACAAAAAAAAGTTACCTGGATTTCACTCAATGTTATTTCTTTTCTTTAAAACTTCTGGCTGTGGAACTAGAGTTAGATTCTCTACCACATGAACAAATTCATCTCCAAACTGCGAAAAATGAGGCTGGAAGTTGAGCACTGGACGCAAACTTCGAAAACTCTGCTTCTTTAAAAACTGGAACATATGTGGGTATCTTTCAAATTTGTTCGAACACCGCAATTCTCTTAGATACAAATCTCTTAGGTGAGAGACGACATAACAACAAAACAGTGATTACTCCTATCAGAACTGACACATTACATTAAGTATAAAACACTTTTTCAACAAATTTGCCGGTTTTTCCGACTAAACACACGCTGTCTGGTCTCTTTCAAACATTGACTGTAAGTACACATTTAGCTGCTACATACTACCAAACCTTCACTATTATTTCAGATAACGAAAAAATTATAAAAAGAAAAAACCATTTCGAATTAGATGAAAATTTCGGACCAACACTGAAGCCAACTGGCTTTGACATGCGGCTCCACTGAAAGTAATGTACTTCTCTTTAAAAATCATATCGCCCCAACTTGGTATAAACAAAAGATATAAACGGGAATAATTATTTAACGCTCAATGTTAAACAGCTTAACGATCAAAGAAAATACCAAAGTAATACGCATCTGTGTATATAAATAAACTTTAAAATGTGTTTATTATCGACTCCAAGTACTAAGTATTTTATTAACCTTTTCGATGTTTTAACATATATGAGGTGATTTCAATATATACCATGATAAATAAAATAACTATACTGTCGAATTGTAAAAAGTTTATTAAACGATAATTATTAGCCTGAGAAAAACTGAAAATATTAATTAAACATGTAACCGTTATTACATATTAGAGAACATTGACATATACCTTAAAAACTAATTCTTCTTTTTCTTATATACTTGAATATTACATTAGTACGGGAGCTTATTATTAACATCTCCCACTTATTCAAGATTTGAATACAAAGACCTAATACAAAAGACATGAAAGCAAAGATCTAATACAAATTAACTAATACATAATTTAAATTGACAAATTTAACTTAGTCAATAAAATTGTTAAAAACTGTCTTTGACAATGCCGTTGTAAACAAGTCCGCTAACTGATTACTTGTATATGACATAGCTTAACAACAGATATTCTTGTTTTCACATTCATCTCGAACAAAGTAGAACCTTAATATCAATATGCTTTGTTCTGCTATGGAATTGTTGTGCCTGTGTTAGCTTAATGGCAGATTGATTATCAACAAAGATGTTGACAGGTGAGACATCAATTCCAAATCTCTTTTAAAAAATTTCTAAGCCATAAAGCTTCTCTAACACCAAAAGCCAAGACACATAACAGCAGTAGATTAAGAACATATACAGCAGTATTTACAGCTTATCGGTCCACAATTCTTGTGACACATTTTTTGTTGATAAGCATAGTTCTTGCACTTATCAACAATGTCCGTAACTGCCTCTCACTGTGGCCATTTTGTTGAGGTGTATAAGGAGCATGAACATTCATGTAATAATCCATTCTTCCTGATAAAGTCCTGAAAGTCATTATTGATATATTCTCCTTTACCTTGGTCACTTTCTTAAAAATCTTAATCTTATGCCAGTTTGATTTTCAATCAGTATTTTAAAATCTTTAAACGTGTAAGAACATCTGACTTGTGCTTTAGAAAATAAACAACTGCAGTTACCACTAAATCATCTTTAATAAAAACAAATATATTTGATCCACTTGGAGAAGAAATGTTTACTGGTCACATACATCTGTGTGAATCATTTCACCTGGTTTGTCTGACTGCTTCTTGTAAGACTTTTATGGTCTTTCTTGACTGCTTCCATACTGGCATGTCTCACAGAAAAATTCTTCTTTGTTGTCAACTCTCATATTGTCAACCAAATTAGCTGTTTTCTTAATTGTAGTGAAGTTGAAATGCCCTAGACGTATCATGCCATAACTTTATTGATGATTTGCAAGCTAAAATTACATTCTACAATAGGCTTAACTCTAAATTTCATGTTCCACAGATTATCTCTACGTACTCCAACACATGAAATGTTTCCATTTGGCTCTAGAAATTGACACCTGTTTTATGAGAATGATAGGTAAAGTTTTTATCTGTCTAGCTCCACTGAAAAATAAGCTGTGACTAAGTTCAGGAATGTATAGACATTATTTTATAGTACGAGCAACCACTCCCTTGGGACAAATGCCTGTATTTCAATAACACCTTTACCTTCTGCAGGAATCATCTTGTCGTTTGGCTATTCTAACAAACATAGGTTCAGATAGAGATTCTAATTTTGAAAAAAATAATTTTTTCATCACAGTCATGTGTAGGCTTGCTCCTGAATCACATATCCACTCACTTTTATTTACACTGAAGGTTAAGTACATGGAAGAAATAATCACATATATAAGCTGAACTTGATGCTATATTACTTGCTGATGATTTGTTTTTATCTTCATTTTTGGAATCATGTATTCTCTTTCTACACTCTCTAACCCAATGTCCCCTTGCGTTTACAATAATTACAGGTGGAATTCTTCATTTAAGTCCTGTATATTTGTTTTCTTTTTACTGGTGGCTTCCAGTTTACTTTGTAAAGCCTCTACTTGTAAAGCAAGACGATGATATTTCAGAGTCATCATTATTCATTCTAGTTTCTCTTAAGCAATCTTGCTGCTAAATTTTCAAAAGTTTGCTGATCACATAGCTACAGAGTCCCAGGCTGTACAAAGGCATTAAATCTAGGAGGCAAACTATTAATTACTTTGGAACAAACAGCATATTACTAATAGTTTCTTTAACATCTTTTAACTGTCTAACTAATAATTCTATTGTTGATATATGCTTGCAACTTTTGCATTCTCATGCATTTTATATTCATAAATTTTTGCCATAGCAACTCTCTAGATATTCTGTCTTTTGTTCGTGGTATTGTGATCAGTCTTGACCAACATTTCTGAAGCATTTTCGCAATTTATCAAATGTTGTATTTGATCTTGACATATAGTGGATAACAAAAATTACCTGTGCTTTTGAATTTTTGTCATCCCATTCTTTCCAGTCACTGCTAGTGTGGTCTTCTGGTTCTGTAACAGTTCCATTCACAATTGGAAGCAGCTTCTCTGCTGTAAACAAAATGGTCACACTAAATTTCCATAGTTGAAAAATTGTGACCCATCAAATTTAGTAATATTCCCTAGAATCAATTTCACAGCTGAGCCATTTTTGCACTTCACTGAATGTTTGTTTATTTTATAATTGTACGACTCGAACGTAACGAAAAATAAACACGGGAAACTCACGACTTAAACGTGAAACAACTTTTACCACAATGGACGTATAAATTTTTACCATGAACCGATGTGACCCGACAGGCTAGTTTTCAAATTTCGTAATACCGGTCTGGGCCCAAACCTGATAAATAAAATAACTATACTGTCGAATTGTAAAAGTTTTATTAAACAATAATTATTAGCCTGAGAAACTGAAAAATATTAATTAAACATGTGTAACCGTTATTACATTTATTAGAGAACATTGACATAACCTTAAAAACTTAATTCTTCTTTTTTCTTATATCTGATATTACATTAGTACGGGAGCTTTATATATAACATACCAAAGAATTTAAAAATGCTACACACGAGGAATCCCGGGTAACAGTCACAAAGAGTTTTTCATCTCATTTGGGTTTGCAAAAGACAATCTACGTAAAATTCAGTTTGTTCGTCTCGTTTTTAGAGAACAATCTCTGACGACTAAACTAACATCTTATATAAAAACGTTTGCAATAATTATTTCGTTTAAAACAGTTTAGTTACTTTACATTTCTTCGCCATTTATAGCAACAAAAAGTGTGGATGGAAGGAAGATCAATGTTGTGCAATTTACGTTACACATTATTGATGTACCAGTTAAGGGTTAAAGCCTTGTTTTATATGTAGAAACCTATAACACAGATAATTCTTACAAGTAATAAGTGTTATTCTCATATATAAATAAATTAAAAATTTCAGATAAATTTAAGATAAGATTTTTTACTTATATATTCGTTTTTAAATTTATAGCCTCAAAATGGGTTAGTTCAACGTCAATCCAGCAACGCCTCCAACTACGGCTCCGTCGAAACACCTCTTCCGCCACGACCTCCAAGACCACCATCACTTACATCTCAAACGTTCTCACAAGAAACAACCACCGAATCTCAGCCGGAAGCGCCGATGGTTCCCGCCGGAAACCCCTTCCGGTCATCTTCAAATCCATTCCGGCAGGAACCCGTACAACCAACGGCTCAAGATCAGTATTTACACGGCTCCATCACCGATAGAACGTATTAGATCTATATTTAGTTCTGAAATTATTGAATGTTTCATTGGAAGATATATATGAATGTTTAAAAAATGTTTGATTTGGTATGTTATTGTTAAAAAATAATTGTTTGTATAGTACACCTGAAATATGTACCTAGAACATTTTAAGTCGGTTTAAAGTTGAGGGCGCATTCTATAGTTATATGATTTGTTTAAAAAATCAAAGAATATTATTCCTAGACCTCAACTTTGAACTTTTTTTAACATAATACCTTATTTTTTGCTTTGTTTATTGAATGCTAACTAATTAAAAATTTTATTTGAAGTTAAACCACCATAATATCTTCTCTACGTCGATTTTACTGATTTCTATAAATTAATATAAAAGTTTTTCTATTGTTTTTCATATACTGTTACTTATGCTATTTTTTCCATTAATTTTTCTTACAAGGTTTTACTGTCTTTTACTTTCTTTCCTAACTGACTAGGTGTTGAACAAAATCTTATTTCTTTATGTGCCTTACTCGATTTTTTTCCGTTGTTTCCATAAACCTTAGATATATCAGGAGTTGTTACCACTATAGAGTATTATCTATATTCACTAATCCAACACATTTTTTACTTTTCTATTATATTCATCATCATCCTCCTTTTCTTCCTCATTATCCTCTTTCTTATCCTCCTCTTCGTTTTGATTTTTTGCAGACATCCACCATCATCTGTACAATTCTCTGTCTTACGTATATTTACTTCTTCTCAGTCACTCTCATTACTAACAGATCCTAAATCGATCTAAATTGCCTTGAGGCTTTCGAAATATGGTGCTATAGAAGAATTTTTAAGAGTTTTCTGGGTGAAGAAGATTAGAAACTCCACAAATACTAGAACGTCTCAGCAAGGACTACTGATATCATAAAAAATATCAAGCAGAGAAAGCTGGAGTATTTCGGACATGTAATGAGATGGTCCCAAATATAGGTTGCTACAAAATATTATGCAAAGGAAAAATAGCATGCAAACGCAATTACAGGACGAAGAAGTACCTCATGGTTGAAGAACTTTACGAGAATTGGTTATGGTGTTGATACAAGCATGCTAGTTTTAGGAGTGGCATTGAATAAAAATTAAGATAGCTATGTGATGGTAACGCACATTCTGAAAGGACTTGGTACATGGAAGAAGGAAGAAGTGGTTTATTTTCCTTAAAACTATAGTATTCTATCTGGGTTGTTATTGGTAGAAAAACTGAGTTTTTTGTATTAATCTCACATTATTTGTCCTCTATTTTTTGTTAATTTTTAATACCTACAAACTAAATACACTATTATTTCTTTATTAATTACTATTAATAACTGGGAATAAGCCACAATTAAAGATAAAAAATACGTTTATTGACGTTTCAATTTCCAATTCGGAAATCGTTCTCAAATACACAAACAGTAAATTAAACAAATTTTGTTTTTGTTACATAGTGAAACAATTCTTCTAATAATTTAATTTTATCTGACTCATTTATATTGACAATTCAGACATACATTATGCTTTTAAAGTAGACGACTTTAAATGATATTGCCAATATTGTTGAGTTGCGCTCCTGGACGACTTTACTTATAAGATAGTTTATTCGATTACATGAAATCAACTTAACTTGAGAATATTCGTCAGAAAAAATCATAGCATGTAATTCGTCTTTTAAAAAGACAAACACATGACATGATGACAGTCAAATTCTCGTGTTTAGTGATTCCGTAGTAAATTATGAGGGAAAAACCAGGAAAAAAACCTCATAATACTATCCCGACATTGTAAGTATATTGTTCGTGAATTTAGTTTTATACCTTCAACAAACATCAAAATTCTGATTTTATATGTTACGTTATTTAAAAAAACATAAATGATGTATCCTCTATATGTTACTGACTTACTAATACTGGTATTTTCTTATTAATAACTTCCTCTTTCAATATTGGTAACCAGATCGTACTACATTCTGCGAGAATTTGCGGACACAATTGGCCTCATTTAGCATAATTAGAGCCGCTTCTTTGATTTTTCTTTTTTGTGCCATCCGTTTCTTTTTAGGACTACATTTGAATTATTTCCATTGAACCCTATGTTCATTATCCCATGCGTGTTTACATATTTGAGATTTAGATATATTATATATTTAGATATTTATATATTATACATATTTATCAAATAGAGAATTTGATAGATCTCAAATATGTAAACACGCATGGGATAATGAACTAGAGGTTCAATGGGAATAATTCAAATTATGTCCTAAAAGAATAACGGATGGTAAAAAAAAGAAAAATACAAAGAAGCGGCTCTAATTATGCTAAATGAGGTCAATTGTGTCGCAAATTCCTCGGGCAGAGATGTAGTAGGATCTGGTTACCAATATTGAAGAGGGAAGTTATCAATAAGAAAATACCAGTATTAGTAAGTCAGCAACATATAGAGGATACTTCATTTATGTTTTTTTTTTAAATAACGTAACATATAAAATCAGAATTTTGATGTTTGTTGAAGGTAAACTAAATTCACGAACAAATACTTACAATATCGGGATAGTATTATGATGGTTTTTTTCCTGGTTTTTCCCTCATAAATTTACTACGGAATCACTAACAGGAGATATTTGACTGTCATCATGTCATGTGTTTGTCTTTTTAAAGACGAATTACATGCTATGATTTTTTCTCGACAATATTCTCAAGTTAAAGTTGATTTCATGTAATCCAATGAACTATCTTATAAGTAAAGTCGTCCCAGGAGCGCAACTCTACAATATTGGCACTATCATTTTAAAGTCGTCTACTTTAAAATGCATAATGTAATGTCTGAATTGTCAATATAAATGAGTCAGATAAAATTAAATTATTAGAAGAATTGTTTCACTATGTAACAAAAAACAAAATTTGTTTAATTTACTGTTTGTATTTTGAGAACGATTTCCGAATTGGCAATTGAATACGTTAATATACGTATTTTTATCTTTAATTGTGGCTTAATTCCCAGTTATAATTAGTAAGTTAATTTACATATGCCACAAGAAAATAGCTTCAGAACATTATTTCTTTATTATTTTCTATGATTCGGCATTTGTGCTCATTTACTCCACCCATTAAAATATTTTACCATATATCCACAATTTAAATGCTTCTTTCTTTCTATATTTCTGAAACAGTTGATTTTTCTTCAAGATCTATTATAAAACATAAACTTGTAAAAAAATATAAGTACATTAATGACATATGGCATAAAATCTGACGTCTTAAAAGACAGGCGTCTGGCCTTAAGATAATTCGCCAGCGCACTATAAGAAGAAGAAGAATGATATTTATTTGAGTATTTAGAGACTGGATAAGAAAACTAAGCGTTTTTATGGAACAAAAGTATCACTAACAATAATGAGAACAGGAGTTCATGGTATGGAAATGACAGTGATCTACGTCACTGAAAACCTAATAAAAAGTATCAAAAATGAAGCAAATAAGCTAACGAAAACGGAATTTTAAGAAGAAATTATATAGTATATAAAAGACTGAATAAATCACGTAAAAATTAGAAATCGTATTGATATAAACTCCAATGTAATTAATTATATAGAGGAAAACAGATTAGCCTGTCATATATGTCAAACGAGTTTAAATGGACTCGTTTACAACACGAGTAAATGTTCTAAATGAAAGAAGAAAGAAAAATCATTTAGAGATCAGATTCAAAAGAAGTAAACCAAGCACTAGAAAGAAAGAACCTGCAATACGGTAATTGGTGCTGCATGAACAAAGCTGGAAGGAGAAAACGGCTGAAAGAAGAAAGACAGTAAAATCTGTGGACAAGATTAATCTCCAATGTAGAAATGAAGATTTCTTTGGCGAAACCAAAATTCGAATTGTTTGCTTTAATCTTGTGCCTTCTATAAATCGCAAGGGAAAACAGACGATGATCAAGACGAGGGAAGTATGGGGAATATTAAAGTTGCATTCATATAACATATCTCCTCATCTATGCAAAAATATCCTGGGACGAATTGGTAGTAGTACGTAAGTACTAACTACCAATATGTAGTAGAGAAGAAGTAGAAGAATTGAGAAGATTTGTTTGACGAAACCAAGATTCAGATTTTTGCTTTATTTCATGCCTTTCTTATACCTTTATCATCATCTATTTTGCCTTGCAATTTATAGAAGGCACAGAATAAAGCAAAAATCTGAATTTTGGTATTGTCAAAGAAATCTTCGCATTTCTACTTTTGTGATTTATTCTCAGATGTCGCTAGGGCGTCGATATTGAAGCCCATCATTGCAGCCCCATGTTGAAGCCATTATTGTTGTTTTTTTTATGGAAAAAGATTGATTTCACTTTTAAAGCTTCTGTATGCTTTGATGACTCCTAGTAGGATGAAAAACGTATAAGCGAATATACAAAGACACTACTCTTAACTGTCTTTTCTTTTACTTGGGACAAGATTTAAAATTGAGTTTAAATATCATTTCTTTTTCTTCTAGTTTTGTTGACATTTTCGAAACTGTTTTGGTTATATTCGGATTACTTGAGTAAGTTGTTACTTGTTATTATTAATTATTTATGAAATCATTTGAATGATCGAATAATTACCTTTCTATTGGTCGTTATTCAACTATTGTTTACCTGTGGTATCTAATATTTTATTTCTTTCTTAATATTCCTGGTTCCTTAAGTATGTAAATTAGTATGAGATCCAGTATATTTGGAGCCACTCACTGGTATATGAGCATAATACGTGCCCAGTATAACTTACAATTACCGTTTTTAAGTTAATCAGGTAGGTGGGTAGTTTGGAGTACTTCCAGTTTAGTGGTAAGTTCCTGATGCAATATCTTATCAACTGAGCCATGCCGTTCCCTCCATTCAGTTGGATAAAATTCATAGCAGTCCCTTGTAAGATTATGGATGGTTTCTTATGTTAAATAAAGACAATAAATATTTTTAATTTACATTGACATTCAACTAGACATGTTCTTGGTAGATATCTAGAT